CTTTTCAAATTAAATGTCATAGTTTTATTGCATTTTTATTTTGCAATGCAGCGCCGATTTTCGATAAATGATGTTTACGGTTGACAAAAAGCAAAAACGGACGATTTAAATTTTGCAAAGAATTTCGGTTTTTACTTATATAAATATAGAGGATGAACTTTTAATTTCCCGAAATTACATGAAATTAAGTAAATGGGGTAACATGTAAAATATCTATCTATCTATCTATCTATCTATCTATTCTATACTATCCTCTTAATATCTACCTATTTATCTATCTATCTATTCTATACTAACCTCTTAATATCTATCTATCTATCTATTCTATACTATCCTCTTAATATCTATTTATCTATCTATTCTATACCATCTTCTTAATATCTATCTATTTATCTATCAATCTATCTATCTATCGTATTCTATTCTATAGTATCCTCTTAATATCTATCTATCTATCTATCTATTCTATCCTCTTAATATCTATCTATTCTATACTATCCTCTTAATATCTATCTATCTATCTATTCTATACTATCCTCTTAATATCTATCTAATTATCTATCTATCTATTCTATACTATCCTCTTAATATCTATCTATTTATCTATCTGTCTATTCTATACTATCCTCTTAATATCTATCTATCTATTCTATTCTATACTGTCCTCTTAATATCTATCTATCTATTCTATCCTCTTAATATCAATCTATCTATCTATTCTATTCTATACTATCCTCTTAATATCTATTTATCTATCTATCTATTCTACACCATCTTCTTAATATCTATTTATCTATCAATCTATCTATCGTATTCTATAGTATCCTCTTAATATCTATCTATCTATCTTTTCTATCCTCTTAATATCTATCTATCTATTCTATCCTCTTAATATCTATTTATCTATCTATTCTATACTATCCTCTTAATATCTATCTATCTATCTATCCTATACTATCCTCTTAATATCTATCTATTTATCTATCTATCTATTCTATACTATCATCTTAATATCTATTTATCTATCTGTCTATTCTATACTATCCTCTTAATATCTATCTATCTATCCTATTATATACTATCCTTTTAATATCTATCTATTCTATACTATCCTCTTAATATCTATCTATTCTATACTATCCTCTTAATATCTATCTATTTATCTATCTATTCTATACCATCCTCTTAATATCTATCTATTTATCTATCTATTCTATACTATCCTCTTAATATTTATTTATCTATCTATTCTATTCGATACAATCCTCTTAATATCTATCTATCTATCTCTCTCTCTCTCTCTCTATATGTATATATATATATATATATTTACCAAGATTTTCTAAACATGATTTAAAAATAATTTCATTCACTATTGAATAAGTCCTGAAAACTTCATTAAAGTCTAACAATTATTTGATTTTTGCAAGAATTTTCAAAACAATTTGTTTTTAAACCAAAAAATGACGCTCAAAATTCCTATACTAATCTTTGGGTTACTCACTGACCCAAGAAAAATACGAATTTAACCAAAATTTGCACCGTGCTAGAAAGGATTAATAAAATAATGATATAATAAAAAATACTTTGGTCTTTCCTCTTAATAATAACAAACATTTTGACAATAAAAGTTTGTTTTTATCAAGTTTGGGGCCTCTTTTCATAATGACATGCATTTTTTAAAAGTCTTTGGAGATACCTAATTTCAGCTCTTCAGTGGAACATATGAAAAAAAAAAAACAACAAAACATTGAAATAATAATCAACTTAACTTCTTTTATTATCACCGATGCTGAGTCGAGGTGGTGTGTGTGTATGCGGGGTGGGGGAGGTGCTATACTGATGACATAAGCATTCATAGCTGGCATAAGAATGAACTTGAACGAAAAATCAACATTTTCTCTCACGTGTTCCAAAAAGGACGACTCAAACTTTCCCAAACAGGAACTCTGATCTAGAATTGGAATGAAAGCAATGATGTCACCTACTCTTAATCCGTCATAAAAATTAAATTAGAATTAAAAAAACAAAAAAAAAAAAAAACACTAAACACTTCAAATATCTTGGTGTATTGATCAGTTATTACAAATTTAGATAAGAACATGGGACATAGAATAGGCTAAGCTACGGGTCGTCTCGCTCAATACTTCCAAGTGATATAGAACTAAAATATTAACCTAAGAACTGGAGTTGTGGTCTTAAATCATATAGATGTGATACATGGCATCTAACTCGTTCATAAATACCTGAACTGTTACATGTATACAACCATTTTATTAAATCAATGATTAAAAATGAGTTCGAGTGAATGAACCCTGTAGGTCTTGAAGGGGTCTATTCTTAATCAAATCTCGTGACGTGGAGCTACAGAATTATAAAGGTCTTTGCCGAATAACAGAAAACATATCAGTTGAAGACATTTAACAGCAAAAACAATATGGATAGCGTACATAACGCGAAGAGAAAATAATGATATAATGAAGATGTTGACAATTCACATTACTTTGCAGGTCTTAGGAAAGAAGCCCTCATCAATACTGAAAAGTGCAAGAATAGTAGACTCGAGAAATATATATATATATATATATATAAAATTTATTGTTTCCTTATATAAAAACATTCGGCATTTATTGTTCAATCAGCCAGTTCTGTTGTCAGTTGAAATTTATAATGTTTTTCCCTTGAAACAATTTTTCAGAAAAATAGGTTCATCATACCCAGTAGGTGTTATTGCTCTTTCCTGTATTGATGTGGGTTTCCTTCCTAACCTTTTATTTGAAGTAGTGTAGAATATCAACATCTGGATTATGTCATTATTTATTTTATTAGAGTTGCATGTGATATACATTGTAGTTGTTGTTGTTTCTGTTCTCTGGTACAATTCTTCGTTTATTACACACACTCACATATATATATATATGTGTGTGTGTGTGTGTGTGTGTGATATTTATATATATATTTAATATATATGTGCCTGTATTTTGATATATATATATATATATATATATATATATATATATATATATATATATATATATATATGTGTGTGTGTGTGCAAAAATATAAATAAAATTTTGAATACGTCCTGGCTAAGACGCTAAACTACATCCAACAGCAAGGCCTCTTGTCAGGAGGTTTTGAGGATCGTGGAACGACCTCTTCATTGCTGATGTTCCCTAGTTCACCCTGATCCGGGGTGGTAGCACCTGTTGGGGTCTCAGCTATGGGCAAATAGTTAACCCCCAAACTGGGATTAAAGCACTATGAGAGTATAAAAATAGGTTTTAATACCATCAATACATTTTTGTAAAAAAATATTACCAGCAATGAATTTTGAAGAAAATAATTATTACCACTAATACACTTTTGAAAAAAAATATTACCAGCAATAAAAATCTTGTCGGTATTAAATAACCCATTGATGTTGATATGCCGTAAAACGAATCAAAACCAAACCAAACAATTTTGACTAAAATGAATAACATTCTTTAATAATTTCTTTTTTTTAGGAACGATTTCGTTTTTTACGGTTTATCAACCCTTTGCAGTTTATTTATATCCAGAAAATATTTTGGATTACAAGAAGTTTTTTGAGCGATAACAATGGTCGAGTCACGAAAGTCTTACTAATTAATCTATAGGTGGGGAGGGAGAAAAGAAGGATTCATACCTGTCCTAAGGGTACTTTCGCATAAGTGAATATAACAAACCCAACTGGAACTGGAGCACGCCATTTTCTATTACACCACACGCACATCCACGGTTACAGCACATGGAATTTCCAAGCGGTCACCCATGTAGATACTAAGCGGGTTCGACGTTGCTTAACTTTTGTGGTCGTACGGAAACTATTATCAGTGTTTTTGTTGATATTATTGTGGGTATGTGTATGTCTTGTGTCTTTTTGTGTGTTGCGTCTGTTTCATCTTTCTTTACAAATCGTGTCTTTACATAACATGTCGATTATTTAATGTGCTGCGTCTTCACGTGTCATTCTGATATCATTACACACACACACACACACACACATATATATATATATATTTTCAACATCATCACTTGATAAGACACAGAGTGTGTTGAAACAAAATGGCTATTTTTGTAGTGATTTTATAACATACTTATGTTATAATTTTTTTTTTTATAAAAAATAATTATATATATATATATATATATATATACTTCTCATGTAGTATTTTTCAAGTAATGAGTATTGAGATATTGACAGAACAAACCCTTTTCAGTGAGTTGTTTTTCACCTTGTTTATAAAAAAGATATATTCTCTAAGGTCATCATCAATTAATTTCGTTCACAGTGTTCTCTTTGAATATCGATTATAATTGTGCCGAATTATTTTTATTCACGCGGTCACCAAGATGGTAAATTTTGTGTACTGACGTCTTGTATTCAGCTTTTATAGGATTCGAAACTTGATGCAAGCAGCGGCCAGTACTGTCAATATGTCTATAGAAGATCGTCAAACATAAATTTCCTTTTTTTTTTTTTAAATCAAGATAAATGAATCGCTACCCTTGTGGCTAGTCTTATAATTTCAAAATCAGCGACATATGTCTTAAATGTACGGTTTTCACTTCAACTCAAACTTAGCAAATAAATAGTTCGGCGTCATGAATTTTTTCTCTCTGTTTTCTGCCGGGCACAGAGTGATTTACAGAATAAATAAAAGCTAAATAGAAACCTATTTAAGAAAGAGTAAAACGATACTGGAATGGTTCTTTTGTATAAAGCTTTTAACTGGAAAACGTACATTTAAATACGTTCATGTATTTCTTTATTCCATCATTCGTTTGGGTAGATGACTGAGGGAGAACATTTAAATTTTACCGAAATCCATTAGACAAGGACGATTTTAGCAGATTTTGGAATACCGAGTCCATTTCTCTAATAAATCATTAAGAATTACGAGCGATGGCCACATTTAAGTCGATGTAAATGTGCAACTTCGCGAGGGATAGCATAATAACGGCGATTTAAATTGTTAATCGCGAGGAAAATGGAATGAAGAAATGCATATTGAAAAAGAAAAGAAAGAAAAAATGAATAGCAAGTCAATGACTGAATGAAAGGAAGAAATCATGAATGAATAAATAGAAAGAAAAAATAAATAGAAAATGTTGAATAAAGATGTAAAAGCGAATGAAAAAACCTCAAAAAACGGAGGAAATAAGTAAAAAAAAAAATAAAATGAAGAAGGAAATTGAAATTAACTGAAAGACGGAAGAACGAAAAAAGAAAGATAATGAAAGAAGAAAAAGAAACAAATAGGAGAGAAGGTGATAGAAAACTTGAAAGAATAAAGAAAACATAAAAGAAAATTAAAAAAAAGAATAAAAGAGAAAGATTACCTGAAACGAAGCAAGTTGTGCTGTAAGACAAATTATTAAAATTATAAGGAAAGACGAACAAAAGTAAGACATCCTAGAGAAAGAAAGCAAAAGAAAGAAAGTGAGAAGAAAGAAAGAAATGAAAAAAGTAAGTAAAAAAGAGAATGGAAACGAAGAAAAAGAATGAAAAATAAGAAAGAAAGAAAAAATAAGAAAGTAAAAATGAAATGCTAGAAGTTGAAGACTTATTATAAAAGAATTTAAGACAAATGATTTGCTCAAAGGCATTTCGTAAGAGTTGTAAATACATTGAAAGGAAAAAGATAAGTAAAAATGAAGCGTAATAAAAAGCTTCATATCAATATAAAAGAGAATGATATCTACCGGAGAAGAACGTAGAATGAAAGAAAAGGAAATCATGCCGGAACTTAACAAGAAAGAAAGAACGGATGGGAAGAAAAACGGTGAATAGAAATTCCTCCTACAAAACATCCAAAAGAAAAAAAAAATAAGCAAAAAACGATGCGAAGGAAAGAAAAAAAACTCAATGCATGATGGGAAAATAATAAAAGAGAAGAATAAATAATACTGTGAAAACGATAGAAAATAAAAAATAAAATAAAAGTAAAAGGAGAGAAAATGTTAAAATTCGTAACTTGATAGTAACAAACGAACAATAAGAAATAAAATAAGAAAGAAAAATCAAAATTTTTACATTATCTGGGATAAAAATACTTTTGATTCACATAAATATTTTACTCATTTTTGTTTTCTTTTTAAATTTCTTTTAGCGAAAAAATTTAAGTGGTTGATGAGAGAACACTTTGGCTTTTGAAAAGACGTTTCAGTATTTGCTCGGTTTGAAAGGATCCTAATACGAGATTAATATGAATATTTTCGAGAAAACTTCGAAATAAACGCAAAAGAAAATAATCTAAAAGAGTTATTCGGACAGAAAGAAAAAAAAAAAAACAGAAGTCTTACACAGGGTTGCTACAGAATCTATTTTCTCGTTTCATAGAGAATTATATTGAATATATATAAATATCATTATTTATATATAAGTAGAATTATATAGTGTATATATAGTGTAAATAATGATGTAGAATTGATTGATAATACAAACTTATCTACAACAGGATATTCACTCTGAAAAATAGAGGGGAGAAGTCATAGCTTATCTAGTGGTCAGTCACTACTTAAAACAAACAGCTTAAGTTCAAACACCGGATGTGGCGCCATAGTATCAACTCCTCAAAACACTATATACAGAATACGGCAAAAGTTTTTTTGAGCTGAGGTGGATAGGACGACGTGGAGCAATTGAGTGAACATCACGATCATCAAACTTTTTCTTGTGGGATATACTGAAAGAACTTGTTTACTGGCTCAAACCGAAAACTACTCCTGAATTAAAACTAGCAATTTCTTATCAATTTTATGAAATTAATGTAGAAATGTATAAAATGGTTTGGAGAAGTTTTGTTGATATGATTCAGTATTGTATTGAAGATGAGGGGGAGCATTTTGAACATGTTAAATAGTTTGTTAATTATAACAAATCAGGTTTTGCTGATGGGAAAATACTTATAACTTAAAGTAAAAGTTAATAAGTAAAAAAAGGTGTTACTTTTGCCGCAAACTATATGTATTATCTAAGATTTTTCTGTTTTCTACAGGTATCTAATATCTCTTTAGCTGACGGTGGAAATTCATATCTGTGTTTGAAATGAGAGACCAATCTCGTGTATGTTCTCTTCATGGTGGTGACCATATCAGGGATGTACTATTCAAATCTTAGATAATATGTTGAACTGTTGTATATCAATTACATAATAAATATACTTGGTACTCTATGTCATTTTTTTATAATCCAAGAGATTTGCATTTAAAATGTGTCCTATTATTAAGGGGTACCATGTATATATATATGTCGCCAGCAGGCAATCCAAGTTTCGTAAAGACGTATAAGTGCGTACACAGCATTGTCTTAATTAGATATATTTAAAATATTTATCTCTTTTAATATGGCCCATATTAGAAAAAGGAATACTGGTTCTGCTTCCGATCCAAAAAGATTTCTCCAGAGCAATGTTGCACCCACTCCAAGTAAATAGTCTACATTCAACAATAACAATATAAATTACCTCCCTTGTTTTAGAACTGACATTGCTATTGAAAACAATAACGTTAGCACAAGACTGTGTTCAAACCATAGAACACGCTAAATTCGACAGTTTTCTATTACCGTCCTGGGGATGACGATAAGCTAAATCCGGCAGCAATTCCTCTGATCTGGAAGTTTTGAGGAGCGTAGCACCACCTCTTAATTGCTGTTGTTCCCAGATGCACCCGTTGACCCGACAGACCCAAAGAATGTGGTTCAGTACCTGTTAGACATCCATGGCACAGTGGATAAATGCGTTCAGTTCGTTCCAACCACCAAGTGACAGACCCAAAGAAAAGATGAGTTCAATAATGTAAATACCCGGTTAAATAGATAAGCTTTAATCGTGGAGACATTTTCACCATGAACGTTAAAGATGCTGGTAAAATAGTCAGTTCCCTGTACCGCTCCAGTAAATACCTGACCCCTTCTGCTTTCTTCTATCTTTATAAGAGCCAGATCCGGATGAAAATTTTGTGCCATGTTTGATGGATGTCACTTATCAGTTATCTCCTGGAAACTTCTCCACTGCCTTAACCAAGTATTGAACTCACCTTCTTTGTTCTCACTCTAACCAACGCCTTTATCCACTGTTAAGATGTTCTGAAGAAGGCCGGAGCGTGGCCGAAACGTTGTTCAGGCGAGAAAGATTAGTCCGACTAATTAAATAACTTTATGACAAATATTTCCTCTTAACGATATTTCATCAGACCCTATAAAATATTGCTGAAAATAACAAATAAAAGCGATTAAAATAATAAAAACCATATCACCTAAACTCTTCCAACAACAGCAACAATAAAACGGTTGCTTTTTCTATACAACGAAAAAAAAAAGATTTTAAAGGAGACTCTCATCAGTACGAGAAAGCGTTTTAGCAGCGGACTTGAGAAATCCCTCCTGAAAAAACTGTTTTAAGAAAAAGATTTTTCACATATTTCAACCAGCAGTAATACAAACTGTTCGGTCAGTAAATACCGAATAATTCCTGCATGGAAACGGTTAATATCACAATTTTCATTACCCTTCAAGACTAGGCTATGCTTGTCTATGGAGACTACTATATCTGGATGTATAGACTGTTAGTTTCAGACAATTACAACTGAATATTGCAATGCCGCCCTTTGGACCAAAGAGAAAATACAAAGGATCTGCGGTCCAATATCAGGACAACCTAAAAAGTTTTTCGCAGATATTCTCTGAGTAAGACCCCCCATAGAGGAGAACATGACTAAAGACTGTGTGTACGCTATCCCGTGCAGCTGCGGAAAGTATAATACCCAGAAACACTGTCCTCAAGGACATCGCACAGTCCGTTGGTGACAGGACCCAAAGTGTGGGGTTCAATACCCGGTCAGTGGAAACTTTCAGAAATGAGCAGGAAAAATTATCTTCAAACATCTTTAAACCATTCTTTTGCAAATATGGACTTCACTGTAAATACGGGGTAGAAAGTCTTCAAGCCAGTATTTTTGGCTTTGCATGCTGGAAGATATGAAATTCATTCATCCATCGGTAGATTGTGCAAAAACATGTCCTCGATATAGTTGTTTTTTTAATCAATGGATAAAAATAAAATTAATTACGACGTCCATGATAGAATTAATAATCGATCTCTTCAATGAACAGGCTTTTCCAACACTTATAGCAAACATACAACTCCAAACTATCACAGGAAGAAAGTATTAGCCTTTTTACATTATTCACATCGTCCTCATCTTTTGCTTTTTTGGACTCCGGCCTTCTTCATCATATCTCTGGTGACTTTCTTCAAACACGGAGATCATGATCACTGAAGGAATTACAGAATTTTGAATTTACAGTTACATCACGTTGAAACACTGGCTCCAGTACTCCTAAGCAATGTTGAGCCTAAATGGGTGACCTCTTGGGAATACCAAGTGCTGTAAGATACTTCATGTGTCCTCGGGTAAAGGAAGTGAAAAGGCTAATTAACAGTAAGACTTGCATCACCGAATCCTTACTATCTTAAAAATACAATCTATAAAAATATTTTCTGGCTTTAAATAACCTGCAAAGTGTTGATAAACCATAGACAACAAAGCAATTATTAGGTTGGTGCAAAAATAATGACGTAATAATGTCGTTTTTTAACGTATTTTTTAACGTCAAAAAACGACATTATTACGTCATTATTTTTGCACCAACTTAATAATAATAAAAAAAACGTTTTCCGTTTCTCAGCACCTTGCTTCGCTTTTGGAATGCTTCTTTCTCTAGTTCAGTTCATGTCCAGCCCTCATTGTTGCTTTTTCCATAATCTGTTGAAACACTTCCCATATACTGAAACTTTTGCACATATTTAATTTTGATATTCCCTCTTTGTAACACGCATCTTGAACTCTTTTCTTGTTGATGACCGTGCTTCTTGCAAGTGACGGTTAATATTTTTTTCTCGTTTTCTTCTACTACCCCGTCTAGGAGGTCCTGTATATTTCTATTCGAATCGTTTATTAAACATTATTTTTAGTCAGTACGTTTTCCTTTAATTCCTTTCAACTGTGAAATTAATATCAACCGGCCTAGATCAAGAGATCCTACACCTGTCGAGACGCACCTTTTTCTTCTGTACGACTTCCTGATGTTTTCGGGTGCGAGAATGAAGTTAACTGACATCGATTCGAAGAAAACATAAGAGATACGCGTACATGACGTACGTAATTGAGCTGCGCTAGGAATTTCAAATTACTGTCTCGCCGTTTTTCACTCATTCAACTTATATGCTCCATTTAAAAAAAAAAACAGTTATAAGAAAGATAGACGTAAAAAATAACTGATATTTGTTGGGTGAATCTATCTTTGTTAAATTTCCGTTTTTATGAACCAACTTTAATGATGAACATATCACCCTAACTAAGCGTTCTTTAAGTATATCATAAAACGTGATGAAAAATTGGTTACATACGGCAATGTTCAACGCAAAAGGCAGCGGATTTAAATGAATAAGTCTCCACAACGGACTCCCAAATTAGTACACTTAGTTTTACAATAGATCTAATTCAGATGCAAAGAAAGCACTGAACGCTCAAATACAAAAATCTCTTATACAGATTTCAAACCTACCATAAGTAAATTCATTACATTATGGCAGAGGTATTGAAATCCTGACTTAGACAACAAACTGTATAGCATCATCCCCAGCACATGAGAGTTGAAATACGGATAGAGAAATGACGCCTTTATCCACTGTGCCATGTGTCCTTGAGGTTAGATCCAGTGACAGGAACCAAAGAGTGTGAGTTCAATACCCGGTTAAGGAAGTGGAGAACTTGGACAGGCAAATTAACAGGAGATAACTAATAACTGGCATCTATTATACATGGCACGTGGAACTAGAATAGTGCACCCCAGTGAGTGAAATAAAGGGTTCAGTTCGACATTCCAACCACCTGAAGAAGGTCGGAGCGTACAACGGCCGAAACGTTGTAATAAATATAGTGATAAAAATGAGGACAATAGTCCAAATGATGTAAATAGTGTTTAACGTTTTATTTTCCTTACCACCCAAGTTTCCGCTATCCGTGCACAGACACTGGCCAAGTAGGTGGTCCACTGCCTCTTGTTGTTATTTTAACTTTGGCAAATATCCCGGCGCGTCTAGGGAAAATCAAATCCACTAGCAATGATTTGAAAGTGCAGAACCTTAACTTTAAGATCGAGCCGGAAAAAAAACAAACATTTTGAAGCACGGTGTAGTAATGGATAGCGACTCGGTCTGAGGAATCGGAGAGCTGAGTTCGAATTCCAGTCGAATCCATTACATTCACTTATGTGCTCATAATCTTGGAAAAGCCATGTATCCTCCTCTCCCCCAGATACGAGTAAATAGCAGGACAGGCCTGGTTCTATAGCCTTGGATGGCAACTAGTCTTCTGAAGAAAGAAATGGCAACCTTTTGCGGGCGAAATAAAAATCTGCCTCGTCAGTCATGTATCGAAAGATACATGATCGCCTAAGCGTGTATCACGCATGGCACATAACTTACTGACTGAGACCTCTTCAAAGGCAAGATGGTTAGCAAGACCGATTCGCTAGCGTAGCGAGTTCGATACTCCCCGGGGGTCCCATACTTGTGGCCTTGTGCCAAACTAATCTAGGATTCGTAAATAACAACTGTATAATTATCTACCATTGTTGTGCAAATTTCTTTATGTAAACAATGACGAGAAATCCAATTTTATATCATTTGTATTTTCAATGGGTAACCGAATTTATTTTGCGTTTTATTCTTCGGAAAAGGGTCGGCGAAAGCGACACGCTAGCACTTGTGATTAATTAATGGTTTTGTTAATTATAATCTGCTTTGCTAGTGAGTCGGTTCTCTGGTGTACAATGCTATCTGCTCCCTTGACCCGTTTCTCTGGAAAAAGGGCGTGCGAACCTCTTCTCGCGTTTCATCTCATTGTTTATTTCAAACCGACATTCATAGACTAGGGAAATGAGTCTTATACTTTGTGAAATTAACCCTACGGCCAAATATTCTTTTCGTGACATGTCTTTCAATGGACCAGCTTAAAAAAGAAACAACTTCGTAATTATTCTTGACAACGAAGTTGAAAGCAATCTTACTCGGTATGTCAATTAGCTTTTTTGCATGCATGAATTTAAATAACAGATTTTGACACATTAACAACAAACATGTATGTATGTATGTATGTATGTATGTATGTATGTATCTATCTATCTATCTATCTATCTATCTATCTATCTATCTCAGTCTATTCATACTTATCTATCTATCTATCTATCTATCTCAGTCTATTCATACCTATCTATCTATCTATCTCAGTCTATTTATACCTATCTATGTCTATTCATATCTATCTATCAGTCTATTCATATCTATCTATCTCAGTCTATTCCTATCTATCTATCTCAATCTATTCATACCTATCTATCTATCTATCTATCTCAGTCTATTTATACCTATCTATGTCTATTCATATCTATCAGTCTATTCATATCTATCTATCTATCTATCTATCTATCTCTATTCATATCTATCTATCTATTTATCTATCTATCTCAGTCTATTCCTATCTATCTATCTATCTATCTATCTTAGTCTATTCCTATCTATCTATCTATCTATCTATCTTAGTCTATTCCTATCTATCTATCTATCTATCTATCTATCTATCTATCTATCTATCTATCTATCAATCTATCTATCTCAGTCTATTCCTATCTATCTATTTATCTATCTCAGTCTATTCCTATCTATCTATCTATCTATCTATCATTTCGGCTAACTTCAAATCTCTTCAAGCTAGGATGAAAATCAAATTTGAAATGTTTCCATTTTTCTAAATTGTTAACTCCACGTCATTAATCCAACTGCTTAATCCGATGAGCTGTTTAATATGATAAGAAATATGTGTAAACTTTGCAGACTTCCCTTCCGATATTTACTATCTGGAAAATCATTTTGTTATCGGTATTAATTTTTAGATACAGCAATGAATCACATTCAAGTATTTAAGTTAATCCTGTAATAGTGACAAGTTTTATATGTCAAACAATTTAATGTGATAAAAATCGAATAGCATGTAAAACCAGTGATGAAGAAAATGATAGTCATGAAAGAGAGAAGATATAAAAGAATGAGAAAAAAACGATGAAAAGACGCTGCTACAGGTTATAAAAACTCCGAAACGACTGATCTCTTGTTGAATTAGGTGTTTCACACTCAGAGGATTACAGTGTACGTGTAAATATACGTGCAAAGATACTTCTAAAATTTTAATTCCGCGTTTAATAGTCAAATGAATTCAGTTTTCTAATTAAAGCTCATTTCTAGGTGTTTAGTAATGATAACAATGTTGGTTGTTTTTATTCTAACGCCGAAGAGTTCCTTAAAAGATTCTCTGTAAAGCAGTGGAGGAATAAATAGATGAGAAATATGTCAATTTGGAGTGGCACTAATAATTATTGTACGCGAGGATGTAAGTAGGAAAAGAATAAGAAGGAGATAAAGAGCTGATATGAAGACGATGGCGGAGAAAACGCAAAAAGAAGAGAACAACCAGGAAAGAAGTAGATAAAAAAGAATAAAAAGTGGAAGAAGAAGACGACGAAAGGAAATGAAGCAGTAGAGGAAGTAGACGAAAATGAAAAGAATTAGGTAAAGAACAATAATAAAAAAACGATGAAAAGGAAGAAGTAGAAGTAGAAGTAGTAAGCAGATGAATAAGTAGAGGAAGAAGACGAAAATGAGAATCAGATAGAGAACAATAAGTAAAGAAGAAGAAAAAGAGGAAAGAGATGAAAAAAGAAAGAAGACAGTAATGAGAATTACATAGAGAAGAAGAAGAAGAAGAAGAAAAGAGATAAATAAGCAGAGGAAAAGATAAAAATTAGAAGTAGGCAGACAACAATAAGAGGAGAAGAAAAAGTTAAATGTGATGAATAAGTGGAGAAAAAAAGATGATAATGAGAAGAAGGTAAAGAATGACAAAGAAAGAAGACGATGGAAATGAAGAAAAAGAAAGGACATGAATAAGTAGTGGATGTAGTCGACAATGAGAAATAGGTAGAGGACATTAAGGAGAGAAGAAGACGAAAAAGAAACAGGAGATGAATATGTAAAAGAAAATGACAATATGAAGTAAGTAGAGAGCAACAAGGAAAGAAGATGAAAAAGAATAATTATTAGAAGATGAAAGGAGATAAATAAGCAGAAGAAGACGACGACAAAGAGAAGATGTAGGAAAAGACGACGAAGAAGAAAGGGTATGAATAAGTAGATGAAAAAGACGACAATGATAAATAGGCACAAAACGAAGAAGACGGAGACGATTATGAGAAAAAGTAGGTAGAAGAACAAGGAAACAAAAAGATTAAAAAAAAGAAAAGAGGAAGAAAAAGAAAAAGGAAGAAGACTAATGAGTAGAGTAAGAAGATGGCAACATGAGTTAGCTAGAGAACAATAAGGGAAGAAGAAGAAGCGAATGAATAAGTAGATGAAGAGGAAAATGAAAATTAGGTAGAGAACAAAAAAGAAAGAAGTAGAGGAAGAAGAAAAAGGAAGGAGACGGTAATGAGAAGAACTAGCTAGAGAACAACAAACAAGAATAAAAAGAGGAAGAAAAGATAGAAATAAGTAAGGAAAAGAGAACAATATAAAGAAGATTAATAACAACTGAAAATGAAAAGACGAGGAGGAGGACAACGATATAAAGAAGAGTAACAATAATTTTTGTCAAAATGTTTTCTGTAAAGGCGTTTTTTTTATCATTGGTTTACTTTCGTTCGAACTATTTACCTTGCCTTGCTACGTTTTTTTTGTCCGATGTTTCGACAGCTTGCATCTTTTTCAGGTGTCTGTTTTCTTTTTGAAAAGTTGAATTTAATGGGTAACGAAATGCGAGAAATAGTCCAAAGAAGTAAGAAAAATACAATGAACAATAACAAGTAGGACTGGAGAGCGAGCAAGAAGTGAAAATCACGAGGAAGGGCGATGATGGCAACAAAGACAAAGTAGAAAGGATATTGGAGAAGAAGGCGAAAATGGAAGAAATTAATTATGCAGCAGATTTTTGCGACAAAAATCTAGAAAATCGGGAGAACGAAGCAGTGACAGAGAAGACTAAGATGAAGTAGCTGAGAGACAAAAATGGAAGTAAAAAGCGGA